CACAAGAATGGCAACAGTGGTGTTCAGAGCTTACTCAGTTACACCAGCTCGCCATACCAAGGTGGTACCAAATCAATATGCAACAAGAAAGCAAAGAGGGCTTGGAATTACATATGTTTTGTGATGCCAGTGAAAGGGCATACAGTGCTGTGGCCTATCTGCAAGGCAAAACACGAGAAGGAGAAACGACAATGAGCTTGGTCGCATCTAAAGCCAGGGTGGCTCCCCTAAAGAAAATGACGTTGCCACGTCTGGAATTCATGGGAGCCGTGATTGGGGCCAGATTGGCGAACAACTTGATCATCTCGCTGAAGATGGAACAAGCCCAAATAAAAATGTGGACTGACTCCATGATCACTTTGCAATGGATTTGCAGTTTGGCACAAAGGTGGAAACCGTTTGTTGCAAACCGAGTGACTGAGATCCAGACTCTTACAAGTCCATCTTCATGGTCACACATCCCAGGGAAGGCTAATCCCGCTGACCTGGCCACAAGAGGACAATCAGTGGACTACAAAATCAGCTATGGTGGAATGGCCCCAGTTTTCTTGTATCAGAAGATCGGATACGTGAGTCTGAAGATGAAAACATTTCAGACTAAATGAATGTAGAACTTAAATCCAGTTATCAAATAGCCATGCAGTTTGCTGCTAATGACACTGTTATCTGTGAACCAATACTGAAGCTTGAGAGGTACAGCAAACTGAAGAGAGTGCTCAGAGTGACAGCATGGATTAGGAGATTCATAGCTAATGCAAAAACAACGATGCAACCAAAGATGCAAGGTGAGCTGACAGCAAATGAGCTTCTTGATGCTGAGAAGTACTGGATTAAGGTTGCACAACATCACAGTTTTCACCAGGAGGTCCAGAGACTGAAGGTAGGAAAACCTATGATGAATGACAGGAAGATTCAGGAACTGAAACCCTTCCTTGATGAAGATGAGCTGCTTAGTGTTGGAGGCAGGCTGCAGCAGTCGGACTTCACATTCAGAGAGCAGCATCCTTGGATTCTGCCAAACAAACACAGATTTTCAGAACTGCTGATAGAGGACTGTCACAAAAGGGTGATGCATTCAGCAGTGAGGGACACTCTTGTACAAATAAGAGAGAGATATTGGATCATCCGGGCCCGGCAGCTGGTTAAGAGCATTGTGACCAGATGCACTGTGTGTAAGAGGTTTAAGGCAAAGGCTGGGCATCAGCTAACTGCACCTTTGCCTAGGGACAGAATATCCGAGTCACCACCATTCGAAGTTGCAGGTGTGGATTTTGCTGGGCCGCTCTATGTGAAAACAGAGGATTCTGTGAAAAGATCCTACATTGCCCTATTTACCTGTGCTGTGACACGAGCGGTCCATTTAGAGCTTGTGTCAGATCGGTCAACTGAGACATTTTTGCTAGCGTTGAAGAGATTCATTGCCAGGAGAGGGCTATGCAGAGTTATCTATTCTGACAATGCCAGAACATTTAAGAGAGTAGACCAAGATTTGAAGGAGCTGTGGAAGATAATTAAAGACCCACATTTGCTGGAGTTTTTCTCGGAAAGAGGAATTACTTGGAAGTTCATTGCAGAAAGAGCAGCCTGGTGGGGTGGATTCTGGGAATGTCTTGTCAGATCAGTGAAAATCTGCCTCAAGAAGGTGTTAGGTAGAGCTTCACTCCACTTTGAAGAAATGTGTACTGTGTTGGTGGAAGTCGAAGCGACTCTGAACTCTAGGCCTCTCACCTTTGTGCACAACGAGGTAAATGAACCGCAACCACTTACTCCAGCCCACTTTTTGGTGGGCAAACGACTGACATCTCTACCACCCAAGTCAATCCCGAAGGACACACACCATCCAACACCTAACACCTGGAGCTGTTGGAGCTAAAGTCAGCTCATTGCTGTGATGCTTCAAAGCCTACACCCCTAAAACTAGGGGATGTCGTGCTCATTGGGCATGACAACCTCCCCAGACAAGTGTGGAAACTTGGAAGAATTGAAGAAATGTTTCCTGGTCAAGACGGTCTTGTTAGATCTTGCTTAGTTCGCACGACAACGGGGACTCTGTTAACAAGACCGATTCAGTTGTTGTATAACCTGGAGCTTTAGATGAACAGATTATTCGTCAGGGGGAGGATGTTGTAACTTTATTGCAGTTTATTGTTTGATAACAGCATTTTGGTTATTTTGTAAGTGATTTAAGTGTTAGTCACATGTTTAGTGAGAGCTGTTAATTATAGATTTAATTTTCTGCTAAAGGGGAGCATTTAATAGGTATTTTCATTAGAAAACTGCGTTTCC